TTCAAAAAAAATAGAGCAAGACATGATTTTCCAGCATTCAAGTTCAGCATGCTCTCTAAGGTCAAATAAGTTAAATAACAAGAATAAGAAATTTACAAACAAAAGGCAAATAAGTATTAAACCAATAACCAAAACTTCTAAACACATTATTACTTTGTCCAGGGCATCCTAAAGTTGAATAGGTACAATGGCCCACAGAACACGTTCATGTTGTTTAATGCAAGCTTCTGATGGAACCCTATAAGTTGCCCGATCATCCATTCTAAGATTTTAAATCCACCGGCTTTTCAGGTCAATTTGGTGTAGTTGAGTCGCGCTAATACAAGCATGCATGGCCAACAAAAGTTGATAGATAAGTATGAACTTTTGGGGTGTAAATAAGATGTAACAATATAACTCAAATAAAAACCTACACCCCAACCCACACCATCAGATATGAGTTTTTCTGTTTACCGTGTATATCCTTTTCTTCTCATTCCAACAATTAGAAACTATGGAGTGATACAGAAGAAAGACAACCTATTAGGTAAACTAATAAATATACATAATACCAATACAAAATATGATGTACAGTAAAACAATTCTCTAATTGCAAAGAATGTCAGTCCTTCACTTGTTTTCGATAATTAACCCTTTGCCAAATATATCTACGCAAGTTTCTTGGTTAGAGCAAACAAAGATAAAGGGAATTCATATCCACATAGTATCATAGGGGGATATATAGGTGTCTTTACAATCAGTTGAACTAATTATGCGAATGCAGTAACTAGGTAGTGGACATCAAAGTGGTGACATTCGATGTACTGAGAGAATATTTGGTATGGTGTATAAGTTTTTTTGCATTTGGCTTCTGGAAGGCTGTTTAACAGCTTTATAGTTGACATGTTTTATTTCTTTGTCCATCCTGTTACCCTGTCATCCCCTTCTTCACCAATTCTAAGTCCAAGAGTGGTATGAAGAAATGGCTTCCCTTTAACATATCCCATGTGTCAAATAAAGAGGAAATGTCATGCAGCATATATGGTCACTAGTTTTTCCTGCCAGTTGCCACAACTCATCAAGAGAACATAACGCACACATTATGCCCCGTTCTACTACATATGCAGAAACTTTGTTTTCAACCTAAGCAAATTTCTCCAGCTCACATATAAAACTGGACTTTCCCTGCCATATATTTATTCAAGGAGAGATCAAATAACTACTTTCCTGTCAACGGACTTTATAAACTATATTCGTATATTCCCCATCATTTATAGAAATTATGCTAAATCCATAGCACGATTCGTATGTATTCTACAATTTTCAAGTAATGTAGCCTCCAACCTTCTAGAAGATTCTGTCACTTTCCAAAGCGTTCTTTAATTAGTACATTCTTAAACAGCATATATTATGCTACACACTCCATCAAAATGTGTTACCAAATGACAACAGATCCTAATCTTTTTACACATTAACATATAATTACAATGGCACTCTATTGCATTAATCAAGAAACAATATCCACAAACGATGCTCATATCTAGATACTTAAAAGAAGACTAAACTATTATCCAAGTGAATGTTACTTAATGGAGATAGCAATTAATAAATCCTAATTCCCTAGAAGTAAACTGTCCGGCGCAATTGCGAAGCTAAAAAGAGAGGAAAATTAATGTTATGAACATATTTCACTATTCTTTCCCTCTCCAATTATACGCTAAGAAATTAAATAAAACGAAATCCAACCAGACATCAAACATGAAGGATTAATCCTAGCATTTTCCAGAGATCAAAGTACAATAACTTTTAAAACCAACGCAATTAAGTCCTAGATTAGCAAAAAATAACATCCAGAGTCATGCATTAGAGATCCTAAATCAAAAAACAGCATGTATGATGAGATGAAAGCAGATGGACAAAAGAATCGTTCTCTACTGAGAATTGATTTTCATTTTTGGACATCAGATTTGAATTCAGCAGCTCATTTGAAGCAATCACAACACGAAAGAAGAAAAAGAGAAGAAAATTTCAAGGAGGAAGGAAGAGCAGAGACTTACAATTGCGAAATGGTAATGGAGGAGCCAACAGATCTCCTCGTCTCTACGGCATACAAAAAAATTCATCTTCGCGGGTTTGCTAAGGAGAAAGCGGCCGAGTTTTATATGTGGAAGGAGGAGGGGAACGGCGTCGTTTTAATACTCCCGAAGTCCGTACCCGGCGTCTTTTAATTTTCAAACCATTAATTATTTTATTGTGGAAAAAAATGGCGCACCCTCGTTCCTCTTGCTTAGAAATTAGAAATTAGAACTTAGAACAGTTAGAAGCATTATAGTCAAAATTTTCAGGAGCAATATAAAATAAATTAATTTTATATTGTAAAAAAATTAATTTTAGGCGTTTGATATCAATTACATAACATTTGAACTACAAGTTCAAAGTCTTCTTTATTCATTTTTAACATTTATATATCATCTAAAGTACTATTGTAAATGAAAATAGATTGTAATTTTAATTTTTATGAAATATAATAGTTAAATGTGAAATAGATAATGAGTGATTCGGTCCAATTTAGTGGTATTAGACCATGAATTAAAACTATTCACCTAATGTGAATTGCGTATTTTTTTATTTTCATAATTAATATGCAAATAATTATAATTTATTAAAAAAATTATAAGGAAGATAATTATTATTTATAATTAAACACTTTACTCATTCAGTTAGTGTCTTAGCCTGTAGTACTAATTATTAACCTCAAAAATACTTATTAAACGGACATTTGTCCTTTTAAGTGGGATGGTAGTATTTGTCCTTTTTTGCAGTATTGAAATCATCAGCTTAGATTACCATGAAATCAAGAATATAAGCTTCATTTTTTAATTCCAAACAACAAGAATCATGAACCATGTACCAAAAAAAACCACAAGAATCATGAACTTCAAATGAGTTCCACAATTCTAGTTCATTATATTATATAATATAATATATATACATGTATATAATAGAGATATGATTACGAATACCCAAAAAAATTACAACGTGTTGATATTAAAATTGTTAAGATGTTTAATTACAGCTATCATTTAATTGAAATATAATTATCATTTAAATGAAATCCATTTAAATGATAATCGTGATTAGACATTTGACAATTTAAATATCAGAACGTCTTGTGTTTTATTTTATTTTTGTATAATTATATATAAGTTTTACATATTATATTTATATAAAATTTTAATAATTTATTTTTTACTTTTAATTGTTAAAATTTATTTATATTCATTAAAAATAATTATTTTTTTACTTAAAAAGTTATAATAAATTTTAATAATTAAAAATTAAAAATTAAAAATTAAAATTTTATATAAATATAATGTATAAATTTTATACGTAAACAAATGCCTCCTACACGTAACTAAAGAGTACACCAAGACTCCATTTGATATTACAATAAAATCTTCTATTTTTTAGACAAAAACTTTGATACAGTAACAAGAGAACATCAACTTGTAGTGAGTTTGAGTGAGAAACAAGGGAGTGCCATCATTAGGATACTAATTACTACACAGCATAATGCCGGCTTGCTCCTGTACAGACAAGAATCATAACAAGAAAGCAAATAAAAGAGAGAACATTTATGAGGTCACAACTCACACCCCTCATCGAAGCATGCTTCATGATTATCGAGATACATCCATCATAGGAAGAAGCAACAGGCGGTGGCAAACTGTGAGTACAAAAGAAAATGACATTTTTATAAGATCCAGGTCTTTGACAATTTCCAAATACATTTACAGAGTGAATGACCAAAATATCACCAATATGCTCTATCTATACAGGCATTTGCCATGGTGATCCAGCAAAGAACAAATTGAAAAAACTGTCCCAGAACTAACACATTTCTTATATTACAAAAAGAGCACTGCTCCCCAACAAATTCAACACTTCTTCACAACACAGGGTTTGCCTTTTATCTCTTGCTTGATCAAACTACTTACAGCCCTATTAGTGATTAAATAGATCACCGACAAAATGACATCTTTATATACACTACTCAGAGATACCTCAACGCTCATCCAAAAATATCCAAAATTCCCTTGTTAACTCTGCTCTGTCTCTGGACTGTGGTGACATTTAGCTCCATTTTATGTACACTTTGTTTTATTGAGTTCTATGCCATGGCAGGGATGCTTGAATTCTGGCGATCCCTGTTGAGGCAATCAAAACCTTCTACTCTAACTGCAGCTGGTTTGAGGCCAAACTTCATTCTAACACAGCCTCCTTTGCATGATGATGGAGATGATAAACCTGAGGGTGATGGAATTTGCAATGTTGAAATGGGAGTGAGTCTTTCATCTCCAAAGCAAGCATCATGTACAATTGGGTTAGCAGCCCTGCTTGGAGGAGACCCACAAAAAAATGGGGGGGATGAGCTTACTGGGGTGACAGGTTGTTCTGTTACAAAATCCTCCTGTAACACCCAAAATATTAGTTAATCAAATGCATAATTCACCACAAATTCCTAACTTTGTAACCTCAGTGATTTCACTTAAAAGCTGATATTAGTTTCAAAGGAATCCTAAGAAAAAACATTGGAAATACATAAAGGGAAGTGGTTTGGGGAAAGAAATTTTTTTCCGAATACATTTATGGAGTTATTTTCCACTCCATCTCAACAGCGGCCTATGAATCATATATATAAACCAATCAACCATGCATATGATAATTTACCCATATTAGCTAAAATACATATTAGGTAGACAGGATATCGCAATGAACAAAGCAACTTACCTTCCTAAGAATGATGTCTAGAAGCTCTGCCCCAGCTTTTGAATCATAAACCTCAGCTTGATGACTGCACTTAAACCAAAACCCATTAGAATTACAATCTCTAAAAGATTTCAAAGGGAAATATGCATAGTTTATTCAAATCACATAGAAGTCAAATACAAAGAAAAACAAAATATACCTGACATAGCATCTAAATGATTTGTTTGAGTTATTAGCCAGCATCCCAACTCGCCGAGGTTTGGGGCAAATAAGCGGGCCTTTCGGATCAGAGACTGAGAGCAAGCTTCTCAGCTCCTCACAGGCCACAACGGCGTTCTGCTGAAGATTACAATGATTCATCTTCAACAAAAACTCCTTCAAGTCTACAGAAGAACGCCTATCAATACCAACATAACACAAACAAATTCAATCAGACTTCCGCAGAGAAAACCCAGATCTAAAAGAATTCAAAAAGACAAATAAAATAAAAAAAAAAAAAGGAACTTTATTTTTGACAAAAAAAAATTAATCGCTTAATTATTAATTAAAAGGCTCTTACAGCCGCCACAAAAGAAAAATAGAAAATAAGACAGAAAAACAAAGTCGTCAATCCCCCTATTCTGCTTTTTTTAATTTCCCTAAATTTTCCCATCATCCAAACAGAAAATCAAGCAAATCAACACAGATCTAAACGCACAACTTAAGAACAAAGAAATCTTTTCACTTCTACTACACCTTCTGCACGAATCTAACACCAAAACTTACAAGAAAAGTTTATACAGTCAAATCGCTGCAAAACCCAAGGATCTAATCTCGCGATATATAATAATAATAATAATAATAATAATAATAATAAAGGAAATTAGAAGAACTCTTAACAAATAATAAAAAAAAAAAACGACAAAGATTTTCAACCGTGCAGCTGAAACTCATCAGATCTGTTCTGGAGGATTAAACATAAAATTTAACCAAAGAACAGAAAATTAAAAAGACCGGATCTAGACAAGTATATGCATAAATAACTACCAATTTTATTTATTTTAATTAGAATTAAAAAAAAAAAAAAGAAAAAAAAAAGTGGAAAGAAGGAGGATTGATACCTTAAAGAAAACTGTAAAATGGAAAGCAGAAACGGGTGGATCGTGGGTGCCACAAAGAAAGAGAAGACCAAGGTGAGCTGTGAAGGTTTATATAGAGGATGGAGGGGGAATTGGAACGATGCCGTTTTGAGTGTGGACGGAGAGAATTTTTATTTTTTTTTCTTGGTCAATGAAAGGAACATGTCTGAAAGATGGCTTAAGAAATGGTTAATTACATTACTACGTTTCTGCAGATAAATGCGTATGATGAACGAAAATCTCGGGAATAAGTACGGGGCCTTCTGTTTGTTCAGTTATTTTAATTGAGTTCTTGAAAAAAAAAAATTTTACCATCAATTTAATCCTTTCATTCTTTACACTATTTTTTATTTTTTTCCTTTTTATATTTGATGGAAAAATAAAACCTCTCTCATCTCTTAATTTATTTTAATATATGTTATAAAATTCAAAAATTATTATTAAATTACTTAAATAATTCTTAATCTTTACCCTATTTACCCTATTTAATTAGAGTATTTTATATTATAATTCACTTTGTGACAAACTATAACATCATGTTCATTAAAAGGAGAAAGGAGAGCATAATATCAAAGAACCCTCTTTTTGATGGTTTTGATATTATAATTTGTTAAAAGATAGACTGTAATACAATTTTTTATTTATATTAACGCTAGATTTTTTCGTTTTCTCTTTTTTTCTTTTTTGTTTTTTTATGTATACAAGTAAATATAGTATATGCAATACATATAATGACAAATAAGTGCAACATATGTACATATCAAGAAAAATTTAGAGAAAATTCTCATCTACAATAGTCAACACGTTACATTAATTGTGAGGTTTCAACGTCTAAATTCATTATGACTTTACCTAAAACTTCATTGGCAACACTTGACCATTATGAGTGGTTTCGCAGGGGTTATATATAACCAGCGGTTGCTTATTTCTAAAATTCAAAGATTTGTTAGCCCTAAACTTCCTTAAAATTTGCTTATTAGCAACTATAAATGTCAAAAAAGTGCCATTTCTCACCAATAACTTTTAAATTTTAGAGACAAGAAAGTGCTTATAAACTGTCAAACATCCCCCCTAAATACAATGTTAAAAACTAAACTTGGCATTACTAGATGCACAAAATAAACACTCAAAATTATGTAATATTTAAATTATTGATTTTTTTTTATCAATTATATTATGAGCCTTGTAATTTGAAAATAGTTAACAGATAAGTGAGCTACAATCCGTTAATAATTAATTGTAAAATAACATCAATTAATATCACACTTAAATGATACGATATGTAAACTGCAAAATAGCATTTTGAACGGTTAATATGCACACTAACATGATGCACTTTTACATTTTATCAATTAAATTAATGAATATATTAAAAAAAGTTATTTTTAATAAACTTTCATTGGCTTGCATAATAAAGAGTAAGAAGAGCTTATTTAGGGATGGAATCAAGAAATTCAATTATGGGGGTGAAAATTATTATTGAAGATTTGGGTCTTTAAAAGTATTTTTTATGACATTAATTTATTTATTTTTTAATTTTTTTTAATAAAATAATTCACTTGTAATCTTTTTCATTAATATATTCTTAACAAAAATTAGAAATAAATGTATTTATTATAATAAAAAATAAAATATCATAGTAATAAATATGCGACGATCAATTGAAGAAAAAATAAAAAATATATTTTTTAGTTAAATCTCTAAAAAAAAACTATAAAATTATATCATTTTAATAAACTCATATTAAGAAAAACAATAACAACATATTCTTAAAGTAGAATAGAGAATGTTTTGATTTTATTAAAATAACGAAATTTTAGAATGATTTTCTTCTATTTTTTTGAAGGTCATGTTGATAAATACATATATTATAAAAAAAACTAAAATATTTTCTTTAAAAAAAATTGAACTCTAATTTAGATTAATTTAACACAAAAAACCCATTATTATAAATTTAATTGTAAAAGCTAAAAATGTAACTTGATGCTAAGAAAAATTATTATATAGAATATTAAGAAAAAAATAAAAAATATTAAAGAAAATTGTAATTTAAAGCTATTTAAATAGAAAATCAAAGTTTTTTTTTTTGCTTAATAGATGAAATGTTTAAGAACCCTAATTTGTAATTAATTAAATTGAAATAAAGTTCATTTTATTTAAATCATATTTTTATTATTTTAAAACTTTTTATTTAAGTTTTAAATATTTTCTTTACATTTGAAATGATTCTTAAAATTTATAACATAAAAACAAAATTTATAACAAATAAAAGTTAGACTACCATATTAAATGTTTCTCAAAAGTTTAGGGGGGCTGCTGCCCCTCCTTCCTCCATTGGTTCCGTCCAAGCAAATTGGATGTGACGTTCGCACACACAATGGCGTGCGAATAGCATCACCCACATAAAATAGCAATTGTGGAAAAAATTGGTTAAATAAAATCATTAATATATAAAGAAAATGATTTAAAGGTAATTTTTTATTTATTTAAAATTTATAATATTAAATTTATTTATTTATTTATAAAAATTATATAAAAAAATAATAAAAAAATTATTCATATTTTACTACCCTATAAAAGAGAGAAAAGTACGTACAATTTTTTCTCTCAAAAAATCGTAATTACGTACTTAAGAAGAATTAGGAGGGGTATGAAGGGTATTATACTCATGGAAAACGGTCCGTGCTCCTAAGACTCTTTATATATTAGTTTTAGTTGGTTATTTTATATATTAAATTATAAAATATAAAATAAATAATTAAATAAAAATAATTTTTAACAATAAAAATTCATCTTTATTTAATAATTTTAATTATACAACTTTTTTTTTCTATTAATTTTAGTCCAACTGACATTGAAGTGAGAGACGAACGGAAAAACTTAAAAGTGACTTATCAAAGCTGGTTTCCACAGAATTCGGCTTTGTAAGATTTAGAGCATATTTAGGAAAATTTGTAAA